GCGAGTGAGCTCGCAGGCAATGAGTTCACTGCATGCCTTATCGGGCATAGCTTTATCACACGCACATGTGGGTTTGTGACCTTTGGATGGGTCCAGATATGGTTTCTTTAGGTTCGGGCGCTGGCTAGATTCGGTGAATCGCAAGTTTATTGCGGTTTTGCAGTATCTGCCACCAATTCGTCGCGGAGGTGATGGTGAACCGCAGGTTCATCACAATGTGGGGGGTTGATCATAGATTGCTTGCGTGTGTTTATAGGGTGTTAATCATGATGTTTGGACGTCCCTTGAGGATCTGAGTGAGTAGTATGCACCTACACTAAGTTGACTAGCTCGGTCTAGGAAGTATTTATCATAGAAGAGGTTGAGAGCAAGGGGAAAGAGTCATTTGCCATAAATGTAATAGTGAGTTTAGTTTTATAGTAGCAAGGGTGGTACTGGCCACTTGGGCAAACATATTCTTAGTCATCAGAAAAGTGAAGAAGGGAAACAATCATTACAAACACAAATTAGGCATAGGTTTTTTGGTACTTTTAAATATTCTCAAGAAAAAAATGAGGCAAGAATTAGCAAAATATATTATACATGTCGAACAACCATTTTTATTAGTTGAAGACACTAAGCTTGAAAGGTTTTTACAACATTTTGCAAATCCCCAATTTCAAAAAGTTTCTAGAAATACTATTAGATCAGATGCTTTAAACTTTTTATTCATAAAAAAAAAAAAATAATTTCTTTTTTGTCAACTCTTATTCTAAAGTTGCAGTTACTTCTGATATTTGGACTTTTAAATATAATATAATTTATATTTGTGTTACTAAACACTCTATTAGTTTTAATAACCATTCAGCAATAAATATTTTAAAATACCAATCAAAACAATGTTTAAATAGTTAATTATCTCATATTATATGTGCATATCACATCTTAAACTTAATGTGTTCACGATGCATTAAATATTATTTCTTATCATATTTCTAAAGATAAAAATTGTATTATATATATTAGAAGTTCTAGAACAATAAAATAGGATTTTAAATATTTATGTCAAAAATATGGTTTAAAATATAAACATTTTGTTTTAGATGTTCAACATAAATGGAGTTATATCTATTCTATGTTAGAAAGTTGAATTTCATACAAAGATATTCTTGCTAATTTTTATAATAACAAATACCACATGATTTTATAACTAAAGATGACTAGGAAATTGTAGCTTTTATAAAAGAATTTTTACAATTTTTTTATGATACAACTATTGAATTTTGGGTGTTTATTACCCAATTAGTTGTGTTTTAGTTAATCATTTATTTATGATTAGTGAATACTTTGCAAAATATAGAAACAATTCAAATTTTAAAAGTCCTATTGAAACAATGAACTTAAATTTAAAAAATATTGGGAAAATATTTCTCCTCTATATTGCTTAGCTATAATATTAGATCTTATGATTAGGAAAGATGGTTTAGATGGTTTACTTGAATCATATTGTGAAAATATGAATACTAGAATTGGAAATAAAAAGTAGAAATTAATAATCTATTATTTCAAATTTACAGTTTATATGAATCTCAATTATTAGGGCATAAGAATACTTCAACTTATATTCCAACTTCCACTTCTGAAACATCTAGTAGTAAAGGATTGAAATATACTATTACTTTATCAACAAGTTCATTTACTAAACTTAATTTTTATTTACAAACATTTTTTTCTAATTTAAATAATTTCTTCAACTCGAAGGAATTAAATAATTTTGATATTTTAGCATGATAGAGTGAACATGGAAAAAATTATACAATTCTTGTCGCCATGGCACATGATCTACTAACCCCTTTAGTATCTACAATTCTATCGAAGCCTTGTTTTAGTGCAGGTACTAGGGTGTTGGACGACAAGAGAAGTAGCATAAATGATGAATGTTTGGAGATGTGCATATGCTTGAAAGGTTGACTGGATGTTGAGGATAGGCTATACGAGAAGCAGATAATGATCAGGGTCAAGGAGTTGCAGGTGGAACTTAAAGAAAAATGATGAAGTCAACGTTTTTTTATTTTATATGCTCACTAATTGTATAACATTTTAAAAATTATTGTAAATTTTGTTTTTCAAGCTTATTTTAAGTTATTTGTTATTTTTTCAACAATACCATTGGAATTTTTATTTTTAATTTATAATTTTATTATATTTTATTCCATTTCCAATATTTAATTCATCCATTTATTTGTTCAAATTCAAATGAAATAAAATATCTATTTTTTTTCTAATTTGTTGTCTATTTTGTATTTTTTTAACTATATTTTGTTAAATTTTTATTTTTCCCAATGTTTGTATCACTTTGACAGTTTACTTAGCAAAAAATGAAAAATATTAGATAGTTCTTTTCGAGCTTTTGTTAAGTGATTGTTGGGGAAGGGCTACCCCAAGCTTGAGTGAGTCTCTATTTTTCATAAAAAAAGGGTAAATTATAAAGACCCCCCTGTACTATAGGGTCTGTGACAAAGACCCCCCTATACTTTGTTTCGCGACAAAGACCCCCTTTGTACTATGACCGTGAGACAAAGACCCCTTTCCGTTACCTTTTCGTTAAAATCTGCCATTGTAATATTTTTCAATCTCCATATTACCCTTATAATAACAATTGGGAAAAAAACACTGTTCATCGAACAGAATAGAACAAAATAGTAGTGGCGGTAATCCCATCTACCTCCGATTTCTCTTCTTCCCCTTCCGCTTTCTCTCCTCCCTTTTCTTCTTCCCGCTTTCCTCTGTTTTTCGTTCTTCTCAGTCATAGCCACAACTCGTTGCAGCGGCTAATGGTAACAAAGTTGACCTACAGACAAGAAAATGCACTTTATTCTGTAAGAGCCATCTTAACCTTATTATTCGACCATGATAAATTCAAGACCTCACCACTATGCCATGAAATTCATGCATAGGTTTCTCAGATAACCAAAAGATTCTTCGAGGTAAAACGACACAAACTGATTCTAACATTCTACCTATACTCCTAAGCTTAGCCAATCTTTCTTTATCATGAAAAAAAGGAGTTAATTCAAATGAACTATTCACCATATAGTATACATACCAAGGAACAATATCTGCAATATCATCCTCATTTGTTCTCTCGACGGAATCAAATTACCATTCTGGGTTCGGGAATTGGAGATTGCGAAGTCGAGAGATGGCATAGGAGTGGAAATCGAGAGCTGGGTTGGGGAGAATGAGGCCCAGTTCGATCAGTCATCCTCCAAATCGAGCCACGAGTCTCTGCTCTTTGGTGGCCACTCATCGAAGAAGTGGCGAAGAGGTTGTTGGGGTTCCTCTTCTCTCTCCATCTTCTGCGGCCTTTTGGATTTGAAGTCGGTACCCAAAACAAAGCAATGCTGCTCTTGCTGCTATTTTTGTTGTTTCGAAATGTCAGTAAGGCTTTGCAACTGTAGCTAAGAGTAGTCGCCTTGTAAAGCAGAGCAGCTCCTCTGTTTGGGTGTGTAAATCGCCACGAATTATCAAGCGATGAATCCGGTGCACTCTTAGCAGTCCCAGAAGTTTCTGAAAAGAAAGCACGCTCATCCACCTCTCCTTCAATCCATGAAAATACCTGTTCTTTTTGTTCAGATAACTAGAGAGAAAATTAGTATACCATTGTTGGGATTTCAAGAGGACTGAGCCGTTAGTTTTGTAATCTTGTTCTATACAAACCTGTAATCTTTGTCGGCTTGAGATTAAGATCCAGAGTCCAAGAACAAATGGGTACTGGAGTTGTTTTGAAGCGAAAACCCGTTGCCAGGAGGTCTGGAAGAGGATGAATGGGGATAAAGGAAGAGATGATGTGGGATGTTGTAATAAGAATGGTGTTGGTGATTGGTTTCAGCAGCAACTGATGAAGAGAGTGAAGGGAGTAAGAAGAGGAATTTGCAGAGGAGTTGTAGGTAATGGCGGAGGGGTTTTTGGGTATTGATGAGATTGTTGTAGAGGTGTTTGCCGTAATAACTTCCACATTTCTTTCCGTGCATATGTCTCTCATAGTTATTTGAATCTGGGCATGCTTCTTTCGAGCATCTCCATTTCTTTCTTTCCGTTCTCCTACATCTCCCTGGTTCGGGGTCTGTTTTCCGGCCAAAACTCATCTGAAAACAGCCCCACCCAACTGCAACAATGTTCAAACAATATATATTTATATTATATAATATATATATATATATATATAAGAAAGATGTACTAAAAAATCAATTCAAGACAAGGGTAGTGTAGGGATTAAAAAATATTGTAATGATAGATTTCAAGTATAGGGGGTCTTTGTCACATTTACCCAAAAAAATATCTTAAATAAAAACATTTTAGAAATGGAAGTGAAGAAATCTGACCATCCTTAATTTCTCATTCCAACCCATATCAAAGTTTGGAGATTTAATAACTTGGGTTGGGTCAAGGTTAGGGGTGAACAAGAAAAACCAAAAAACCGAACCGAATGAAAAATTCTGGTTAAACAAAACGATTGATTTGGTTTTGATTCGATATTTTCAGAAAATCATGTGTGTTTACATATATTACATATATTTATGTATATTATATACACTATATATTTTTTATTATTTATAATATATAATATATTATTTATTATTTATAATATAATATTTTATTTGTATATTTAGTTTTTATTTTATATATATATATATATTTATAATATATTTTATAAAAATAAAAAAACCGATAAACCAAACTGACAGTTAATCGAACTATCAACCAGTTAACTGATTGACTTCAATTCGATTTTGGTTACCGGTTCGGTTTGGAATTTAGGCCCGAACCGTGAGCACCCCTGGTCAGGGTTTATTTCAATCCGGACTAAAACGAAAACGTTGTGTGGAAACTGAAATGACGCAACTGTCTCTGTTCTAGCTCTTGCAAGATCAACGAGAATAACTATCTTCTTGAGCTACGAGACATACATGGAGCAGAAAATACTACAAGTCTTACAAAACTGTAGAAATATTATAGAAATGAAGCAAACCCATCTCCAGATTTTCGTACATGGTCTTCAAGAGAACAGTTATATTTTACCGAAGCTTATCAGTCTTTCTTCAGCTTTTCATTCTGTTGATTATGCAGTTCAGATCTTTGAGAACTCTGATTCATCGAATGTTTTCGTTTACAACACAATGATTGAGTGCTTCATCGATAGGGGTCGCCGGAGAGATGGGTTCTTGACTTACAACCGGATGAAGGCCTTATCCATCTCCCCCAATAGTTTTACCTTCACTTTCCTTCTCAAATCTTGCAAATCGCTTGAAGATCTTGAAGATGGTACAGAAATACATAGCGACGTATTGAAATTAGGATATGGTTCTAGTGTATTTGTTCAAAATACTATGTTGGATTTCTACTCTAATTGTAGTAGGAATTTAGTTTCAGCTTGTAGGGTATTTGAGGAAATGTGTGAAAGAGATGTTGTTTCGTGGAATTCTATGATTAGTGCATACATGACACATGGAGAGACAGAATCTGCAGTTAAGTTGTTTCATTCCATGCCAGAGAGGAATACCGTGTCCTGGAATTCCATTATAACAGGGCTTTCCAAGGTTGGAGATATGGAGTCAACACGCTCAATCTTTGAACAGATGCCAGTGAGGAATGAAGTTTCCTGGAATGCCATGATTTCCGGATATGTCAGGCAAGGTGATTTGAGGAGTGCAAGATCTCTGCTTGATCATATGCCAGATATAACAGTGGTTTCTTGGACAGCCATGATTTCAGGGTATGCCAAGAGTGGGGATCTTGCTTCTGCAAATGACCTTTTTGAGATGATGCCAGTCAAGAATGTAGTTTCATGGAATGCAATGATTGCTGGGTACATTGATAACCATTTATTTGATCAAGCTCTGCATATATTTCACCATATGTTGATCAATGGTAAGTGTATCCCCAATGAAGCTACTCTAATCAGTGTCCTCTCTGCCTGTGCTCACTTGGGGGCTCTTGAGCAGGGTAAGTGGATCGATTCCTATATTAAGAAAAACAAATTTAGTTTATCAGTGCCACTAGGAAATGCCCTCATAGATATGTTTGCAAAATGTGGGGACATAGAAAAGGCGAAAGAAGTTTTTGGTCAGATGAGAAGAAGATGTATAATCACATGGACAACAATGGTTTCAGGCCTAGCAGTTAATGGCCAGTGCAGAGAAGCATTGGATCTCTTTAATTCAATGTGTAGAGATGGAATAGATCCCGATGAAGTTATCTTCATTTCTGTCCTCTCTGCTTGCACCCATGGAGGGCTGGTGGAAGAGGGTAAACAGGTTTTTAACCAGATGGTACAACAGTTCCAAATTAAACCCCGAATAGAGCATTATGGATGCATGGTTGATCTTCTTGGACGGGCAGGGAAGTTAGAGGAAGCAGTCAGTTTTATAATGAGCATGACTTTGGAGCCCAATGCTGTTATCTGGGCCTCTTTGCTTAGTTCTTGTAAGATCCATGGAAATAAAGAATTAGCAGATTTTGTTTGCAGAAGGATCCTTGCTCTGGAACCTTCAAATCCTGGTTATCTAATGCTGATTTCAAATATCAATGCATCAATCAGACGATGGGAAGATGTTGCAAGCATTCGAGCATTAATGAGACAGGAGGGCATAGAGAAAGTGCCTGGTTGTAGTTTAATCCAAGTAGGGAACTGGGTCCATGAGTTTATGGCTAGGGATTCAAGGCATGAGAACAGGAAGGAGATCTATGAAACTTTATATTGCTTGAATGAACACTTGAAAGCAGTAAATGATGTTCCCTGAAAAATGGCACAACGATTTGTTGTAACTCTCACATATAAAAAGGATGATTTAATTTGGGGATGAAAGGAAAGAATGTTTCTATTGATAGAGAGTGTGCAGACTTGCATGGTTGTTACTTGGATATCCGATCATAAGAAGTCAATTTTATGATGAGCACATTATTAGGAAAACATCATGGTTAACTTGAAGCAGTGAAGCAGAAAATGGAGCATCTGCTCACTGTAAATCTGTATGATATACTAAGCATATAAAGGCCATATGCATGTCTGATCCCAAATATTGGATTGGTCATGTTAACATAAATCAGCATTTGGCTTCACACAATAGAGAATAGGAGGATGTGGAGGATGTGGAAGATGATATAGTGTTGGAATTCCCTAACAAGGTATTATTTCAGGCATCCATCAAGTAAGTGACTTTTGTTGCATTCTTCATCATCTAAAACATTCTAGGAAGTTGGCAAAAGCAATCAGCACTCGTCAACCTCTACTAAGATTGAAGAGACCACTTTAAGTTGATTAACCTATCTGCTCCTTGGAAGAAAATTTGAGATGCGGATCTTAGAGTACAGAGAGAAGTTAAGATGCTATTTCATCCTTTTTTATAATTTTTGGATTAATGAACAAAGGTTCACACTGTTCAGCCTACAACCTTTTTATATTAATACAAATTTTTACCTAATTTATCCAAAAAGATGGAATATATGTAAAGTTTTCTGTTTTTAGAACCTTTAGGTCTATATTATCTTGTCTTAGGAAGCTAAACCGATTATTTTGAAATTTTATTTGTGTTTCTCTTTCTAGTCCTATAGTCTCAAAAACTTCATTGAAAGTTTAAGAAGACATAATACATAGGAACCTTGTTGCAAATTCATGGTCTGTATTCTACCAGCTGTATGAGTTGCAAGGTCTTGCTATTTGTTGAATCATTAATAGGGACCATCCCATCAGTCCTCTGTGTTTATCAGGCCTGTGGTTTGCACATAGCCTGGTTCTTCCCTGACCTTAATTGATTGCCCCCACCCACTCTTTTTTCAAATGTTCCGTTCCTTAACATAGGCAAAGCTTAACTGTTTTAAATAGAGCAAAAGAAATCTAGGACACAATGAACATTTTATTAGTTTCACCATGATTGTATATTTATTTCCATTAACAAGACAAACTCTTAAGATCTGATGGTTTTAAAATATTTCATATTTTTTCTTTTTTTGTCAAGAAAAACACTATTCTTTGTCCACGGGAGAAAGCTAAGTAAATATTCCTATTGTATGAACATAATTTAGAGTTTCTTATTTTCTTGATCAGATATTTTACCTGAGCTGGGTAGGCCTCCCCCTAGTGACAAACTGAATGGCAGAGTATATGTAGAGAAAACCAGATGCTCTCTATCTACATTCAAATTCCGGTAATCTCCTTTTCCTTTAAGAAAACCCAGTTACCTATTGGGAGATCCAAACCATCAAAATCCAATCATGGATCATATAATCCAAAAAAGATGTGCTTTCCCTTGTAAAGTTCATACCTCTGACATATAAGCATCCCAATGTATCCTTATATCTAAAATTCACTAAAACAAAACAAATTAAGAAAGCCCAATAAACAGAAGGACAAAATAAGATATAGAAGAAGGATTAGTGATTTCAACTTACATGGGACATAGGCCATGATGAGAACTACAGAAGGACATCTACAAAAAGAAAAAAGAATGCTTGTATTGTCCAGACATGTGTTATCTATCTATTTTCTTGTTGTAAGAAAGGAACAGATATTGCATGGAGTGATCCCAGGTTGTCCACAATGGGGGTATGAGGATTTTAAGAGTGGTGGAAAAAAAAAACAAAAGCTAGAACTTACAAAGAAGGGGATAATTTTCAAAGAGAGCTCAGCATCCTTTAAATATGTTGTGGCAAAAAAAGCATGATGAGGTGGCCCTTTTTTGTGCATTTCATGGTTCAAAACTGCATACTAGAAATTTCTTTAAATAAATGGCTATTTGGAACAATAAACTCAATTGAGACTAAGATGCATGTTAGCCTTATTTTTCTTCTCGGTGGTAATTAGATGCACAAGATTACTGTGCCGTCATTATCATCAATTGTCAATTCATTGAACGTTTCCATGTACTCTTCTATGGGTACATTCCATTGTTGAAGTCTGATTAGTTTCTTAAAGAGAGCTTCTTCATAGTCTAAGAGCAAGTACTTCTCCTTCAACTTTAGCATCATCTCTTCCCAATGGGTGATAGGTGATTGCCCAAGCTTATGTAGAAGATCCTCTCCACCATACATGATAATCATCACTTGTATCAAACCATTCAAAAGAAGTCATCAATAGCTATTATCCAATCAAGGAGTGCATGTGCTTCCATTTTCCATGAAATCTAGTACATCAATCCCTAATTTCTTGGTGAACCTATCAAGTAATCCACTTTTTAGCTTTCTTGAATGATGTTTCCTTCATGAAAGTAATTTACAACTAGTGAAAGCTACCCATTCCCTTTAAAAGAAGAGTGTAGTCTTGTCAACTAGAGAGTTTGAACAAGAGGAAGACAAACAATTTCGGGGTGTCAATAGAACAGTCGACCCCCACCCCAAAGAGCCTCTATTATATTAAGAAAATATGTACAATTACATAAATGCCCATAAAGGGATAAAAGAGGAAGAGAACAAATACAAAGGCTATAAAATACAAAAATAGTGTATGAAAGGGTCTATGATAAAATTATACATCATTCTTAGATTCTCCACACTCCCCCCTCAAACTAATACATAAACATATGCATCAATTTGTCCACAAGATAGAGATGTTGAGCCTTAGTCATGGCCTTGGTGAAGATATTAGTAATTTGCATGTTTGTCCACAAGATCTCGGATGAAATGACAATCCACCACAATATGTTTGGTCCTCTCATGGAAGATAAATTTAACGCAATCTTGATGGCACTTGTGTTGTCATCATAAAGAGGAATAGGAGTGGGAAATTGATTACCAATGTCCATAAAGAGAGACTATAATCAAACAATCTCACTACAAACGGAAAACATTGGCCTATACTGAGCTTCAATTGAAGATTTAGATGTTGTCAATTACTTCTTGCACTTCTAGGAGATAAGAGATAGAAAAACATACCATCCAGAAGTAGATTTATGGGTGTCAGGGAAATCAACCTAATCAACATTAGCATATGCTCTCAACTGAACAAGAGAGGAGAAAAATAGTTCCTAAGAAAGTGTGCATCTAACATAATAAATAATGTGATGGACAACAATCATATAAGGCTTCTATGGAATAGAAATAAACTAACTCGCAACTTGAACGGCATATGAGATATCAAATCGAGTCATAGTGAAATAGATAAAGGATCCCACAATCTAGCAATACAATATAGCATCTAGAAGTAATGGACCATCAAATTTAGATAGCTTAACATTCAACTCCAAGGGAGTATAACCATCTTTCTCTTTAGCGATGCGAACAAGAGAAACAAGATCAAAAGCAAATTTTTGTTTACAAATAAAATATCCTCGATCATTGCGATGAACTTCTAACCCCAAGAAATAGGCAAGAGGTCTAAGATCATTCATGTGGAAGGAATGATGAAGTAAAGGCTTCAAGTTGTGGATGCCTTCATCATCATTTCTAGTGAGCAACATAGCATCAACATACAACAGAAGATTGGTAATACCTTGAAGCCATTGTTTAACAAATAGGGAGTGATTAGAAGAGCTTTGGTTATATCCTATTGTGACTACAACATCCTAGAAATCCTCAAACCAAGCTTGGGGAGCTTGTTTCAAACCATATAGAGATTTCTTTAGGTGACATGCCAAGGAAGGATCACTATAGTAACCAAGAGGAGGCTTTATATGAATAATCTCTTTCAACTAACCATGAAGGAAGGCGTTCTAACATCTAGCTAGTAAATGGTTCAAGATTGGATAAAGGATAGTACTAAGAAAACATGAATTGCGATCTTAGTGACTGGAGCAAAAGTTTCTCCATAATCAATTTCATACTCCTAATCATAACCTTGGGCAACTAATTGAGCCTTATATCAATCAAGGGATCCATTAGATTTTAATTTGATGGTACAAATCCAACAACTCCCAACGATAGAAGCATTTGAAGGAGAAAGCACAAGATCCCAAGTATCATTTTCAAGAAGAGCCTTAATCTCATCATTCATGGCTTCTGTCCAATGAAGACTCCTAATGGTTTGCTAGTAAGATCAAGGGATATCTGTGGAGGATAAAACACTAGAAAATAAACAATGACTTGAAAAGAACCCATAGCAATTAGGAGGTTGAGAAATACATGTAGAATGATGAAGAGGAAGAGAAAAAATTATTGGTTGGAATAGAGGTATTTGAGGAAGATATATCACTTATAGGGAGATCAGGGAAAATCCTTTGAATCAAAATTCTACAAAACAGAGATAGAATGAACAAACAATTAAGCAATTTCAACAATGATATAAATATGCTCAAGAAATACAACATTTTGTGAAATCCGAATACGATGAATAGTATGATCATAACATAAGAAGCCCTTGTGATTAGGATTGTACCCAACAAAGGCACTCATAATAGATTGAATAATTAGTTTATACATTCATGAAAAGGAAAATGTACAAAGCACATATAACCAAAAACATGCAAATTAGACAAGTTAGGAAGACAACCAAAGAGCTTCTGAAACAGAGATGCATTAGCAAAGACAGAGGAAGGTAAATGGTTGATTAAATACACAATTGTACAGGCTGCCTCCACCTAAAAGGAAGGTGGAGCATGGGATTCTTGTAGAAGTGTCTTAACAACAGTAAAGACATGGCCATTCTTGCATTCTTCTACACCATCTGTTAAGGAGTACCTGGACAACTATGTTAAGATTGAATGCCATAAGTCCTCAAATAAGCCTAAAAGTCTCTATTAGTATATTCTCCTATTGATACTCCTTTTGATCTGAACCACAAGATTAATAGTTTGGATGGTGAGTTGGTTAA